ATGAACTCAGTAAAAACATTTATACCTGTTGATCTGCTTATTGGAATTCAGTCAGATGATCCACTCAACCGATATAGCTGTTTATCTAAAATAAGGTAAGTCTCAGGTCTCTCTTGTGTTGAGATGAAGTCAACTTTGGCTACAAGAGCTGTGGTTGGTTACACCCTAAGTTACTCCTGGGCCTCATGGGTACCTTGTTTTTATCCATCTTCTTCGAGCTGTCTTCCCTTGCATGTGTTTTCTCATTGGTCACAGGTAGAAAAACTGAGTTTGTTATTACTGGAGTTATAAACCTGTTATTGGAAGAGCTTTTACAGAAAATAGATTTGTGGCTAATTCCTTGTTAAATTTCAAAATTATGTAAAAATATTGTTAAAAAAAAATCTAAAGATACTTTCACAAGCTAATATCTCTCAGATTGTTCTTACTTATGATGTCCCGCCATAGCAATCATTTATTCCACAATGATATTTATATTTAAAGCAGGATTTTTAAAAATATTTTTAATAAAAGGAAAACAATAAAGCTAAAAAAATCAAAAAATATCCAACTGATATATTTTGTGAGAGATGGAAAAGAAGGAATTCCATGTATTCTGTTCTTGGTAAATGATGACCAAATGTTCTCAGTAAATGATGACCTTATGGTGATCAAAGATTTATAGCAAAATATTCTTTAAAAATGTACTAAATATTACACAAAATATCATTATATGGAGAATCTGAAACTGTAATATTTATATTTTTTTCTGGTGTTTAGATTTAGCTAATTTAGCTAACTCTGTGCTCTTAGGATGTTTATCTAAACAGGAAGTTGTGTGAATATGCCCTGCCCATCCCTGATGCTGTATTGGCACGAGACCTCTGTACACATCAGAAAATTTGTCACGTGTACATACACATCAGAAAACTTTCCGCAAGGGATTTGGACAGAAGGAAGAAGTGGTAAGAGACTGAAAGTTGAGGTACACAATAGTGGATTAGTCAGTTTAGACAAAGCCAGAGAAATCCCAGGAGATCTGTGCAGTCTTCAGTCTCCTGTGTTCATATCATTTATATTTGTGTTTGGTTTTCTTGTCACTGTCCATGATCCCCACAAATTGTCAGAAAACTTTAAATCACTTTACAGTGTGTGTCAGAGCCTAGAGCAAGGAAGATCTATAAGCTCTGTCTCAAATTTCCACAGCAGGTACAAAATTAGTATAGAGCTGCTGATATCTTTAGCTGCTGAAGGTGAAAAAAAAAAAAATCAGTAATTTCTAACTGTGGATCATGGACAAAAAAAAGGTTTTCCCAGAAGGTCTGATTCATACACTGTTTGAGCATCTCAAACCATGGCTTGAGGCTTAGATTGATAATCAAGTGTAAGTGGTGTTTTCAGCAGATGCACATCAGTGTTATCTTCAATATACATTTACTTCAAAAGCCGTGTCTCATTAGCCTCAAATTATATACCTCTACAAATAATAATAATAATAATAATAATAATAATAATAATAATAATAATAATAATAATAATTAATAATTAATAATAACTAATAATAATAATAATAATATAACCCCTCATGTATGAAAATGTGTGATTTCATACCTTGATTTCTTTTCATATGTCAAGTTGCCCAAAGATGCATTCTATTTTAAATGGAACATATTTTGGATTGTTTTAGTGAGTGGTGCTTCTAATTAATTGTTTTTTCAGGCCAATTTGTGCAAATTTTTCTAACATTTCAAAAAGTAAGTATACAAGAAGAAAGAGTAAACACTTTCTGAAAATTAACATGTATATCTTTCCATATAATGTTTCATTTTGACACACCATGTGTGTGACAACCAGGGCATCAAACCCAGCCAATGTGAATTCATGAAAGGCAGATCCTACTTGACCAGCCCGATCTCACGCTATGACCAGGTGACCCACCTAATGGATGAGGGAAAGGCTGTGGACGTGGTCTACTTAGACTTTAACAAGGCTTTTGAGACACTCTTCCCACTGACTTCTGGAAAAGCTGGCAGCTCATGGTTTAGACAGGGGAACTCTTTCCTGGATGAAGAACTGGCTAGGGGGCCAGGCCAGACAGTGGTGGTGAATGGAATTAAATACAGTTGGCAACTGGTTACGAGTGGTGTTCCCCAGTGGTCAGTGTTTCAGCCAGTCTTCTCTCATATCTTTACTAACAATTTGGAGGAGGAGATTGAGTGCACCCTCAGAAAATTTGCAGATGACAACAAGCTGGGAGGAAGAGTTGATCTGCTTGAGAGTAGGAAGGTTCTGCAGAGGGATCTGGTCAGGTTGGATCARTAGGCTGAAGCCAACCTTATACCGTTCAGCAAGGCAAGTGTCAGATCCTGCATTTCAGTCACAACAACCTCATGCAATGCTATAGGCTTGGGGCAGAGTGGAGAGCTGTGTGGCAGAAAAGGATCTGGGGACGTTGGTTGAAAGCCAGCTCAACATGAGCCAGCAGTGTGCTCAGGTGTCCAAGAAGGACAGAGACCTSCTGGCTTGGTTATCAGGTCTGCAGGTTTGCAGACTAGGGGGCTGAGATCAATAGTTATATTTGATGTATTGGCCAAAAGTATGTTTCTTTATTTGTACAAAAAGACTTAAATAAAATCTATGTGTCTATGTTCACATGAATAAGAAACACAAGCTTCATATATTTCATGTCAAGATTCAGGAAAAAATAARATTAATGGATTTAGTACCCAAAGAACCAACTTTTCATGCTAGCATTCCTTAAATGAGAAACTAGACAATGAGTTTAATTCCAGGACAACAATGGACTTTAAATAATTTCATCTTTCCTGTTCTCTTTTCATTCTCTATTCAAAATAATCACACGCAACAAGAATTTTGATCCACAGACACTCTGGAATTAATATGGATGAACATTGTTTATTTAGTCACATTTTCCACAGTTGTATATTATCTTTGATATGCATATTAACCAAGGACTTCCACTTTCATTCATGTTGTCATTTTTTGCTTCTTTCTCTGCTGATAATGCTTTCATTCCTGTTTATTTGTCATTTGGTCATTCTCTTTTTTGCTCTTTTTTTTTTTTTTCCCCTGATTGCTGATTGCTTTCCATGCCTAATTTTCCCTCTGCCTATTCTTTATTGTCTAGATCCCAATCTTTCCTTCCACTTGGAGAATTTTCTCAGCTTATTCCACATTTCTTCAGTGGTGCTATAGTGCTATAGATTCCTGCAGCATGAATCTCAGGGGAGTAGGAACTGTGACTTCTCCCTGAATACAGAACAAAGCTCTTGTTGGTCAATTTGCAGTCCATGGCCAGAAAAGTTCCAAAATCAAGAAGGAAAGAGCATGAGAAGCTAGTTTCCAAACTCACCTACTGATGTTTACAGACAGTAGCAGAAATCGTAAAGGAAAACGATGCATGTTTCTGGTTGTCAGTGCCCTCTCTGACAAGTGCAAAGGGATAGGGATGGGTTAGGGCTCGGGACAAGATCCTTCCCCAACTTTGCCATTGTCCAGCTGGGTGAATTTAGTCTAAGATCAATCCAGGACTCCCATCAGTATGTCAGGGCAGTAGAGCAGGGTCCTGTGCACGGGCCTGTGCATGGGGCTCCCCACAGCATAGCTTGAACAGTGATAGTCCCTCAGTCAGCGAGCTCCTGAGCTCCTGGGAAGAAGTGTGAGTGAATGTCCAATATGAGCCTGATTGGAACTCATATGAGTTTGGCTCTTAGGGTTGCTACTGGGTCTCCCTTCAGGATGGATGCTTAGGTGACACAGCCTCTGGGGACAAGCACTGAGCAGAAGAGCTAACAGGAGTTTTAACTGAGAAATCCATTAMCTTCTAGATATGTATCCAGAATGTCTCTTCAGGTTCAGATATTTCACAAAGTTTGTGATGCAAGTGCTAAAATGAAGTCAGTAGGAAAATTCCCGATGTATTGAAAAAATGAAGCACTTTTCTTTTGAATGTCTTTCTTCATATAAAACAATCAACATAGCTCTCTCCTGTATTGTTTTTAATTTGAAATGACTGCTAGTAGCTACTTACCTTCTTTTTTTTTTTCCTGCACTTAACACTGATTATATAAATAACCTCATGAGACAGTCATGACTAAAAACAGTACCTAGCATATATATATATATATATGCTTTATATAAAAAAATATGTGATCTTCCTATCAAAGGTAATGTATCAAGATCTCTTTTCTATAGATTTTTCAGCTATAAAATAGTTATTTGTGATTATAAGAGAGAAAATGAGCAAAAAATGAGCTCTCAATTTATCTGTCCGAGGCAAGAATTTAAATATTGCATGATTATATATACTATATGGTAACATATGTATGCAAGTTATATATGTAATTAAAGATTAACAGGATTATAGCATAAATTGGCTTGTGTCAAAAAACGAAAAGTAAGGGTGTATAAGAAGGTAGGGCTACATTGTTACAATATGTAGGTCATGATCTAATTTCTCAGAGCTCGTACCAGTGATTTTCTTTTTTCATTTTCCAGTGTTCTATTTTTCCTCAGATATAGGCCAAGTAATAGAGACAGGAAAATCATTAACTTTGTGCCTGATTTTGACTAATTCTGWTCTCACATTTTGAACTAATATAGTAGATTATCCAAGGAAGCAAAACTTTGAATGACTGTATGTGAGTGCAAATATGCTTAGGACAGAGATGCTATTTGCTTAAGGCAGAAAATAACACCCTCGAGGTAGCCTTTAAATGAGGGACATGCATTCAGAAGGCAATGGGCTGTTGTTTGGCCTGGAGTTATGTAAGAGACAGAATGTTGGATTTGTGGTATAATCTGAAACAAGTTTGTGGCTTTAATCTTCAGCTATCCTGACTTACTTTGAGAAACTCGTAAATCACCATGGCGGCTAAAGTTCATAAAACATTTACAGGTCTTGGAGTGGAACTAATGTATAAATTCAAAATATGCATTTAGATTTATGCCAATATGAATGTGTCTGTTGATTTTAATTGTCTCTTTTCTCTTGACCACAGGCTGACTGTGTGGGCTGCAATTCACTGGAAGGAGCTGTTGTGCTAAGGAAGTGGAGTAACTGTGCATCTCTCCCTTCTCTATTCCTTGGGAAGTGTTGTATGTTATCAGGATTAAGCCAACACTGAAATCTGGAATGGGCCTGAGGGGAAAGCACTCCCTTGTTTCTTCTGACACTGGAATTTGTCTACAGTCAGTCAACTGAGGCACCTGCCACTCATCAACTTTTGTTTTTTTCCCTGCCTGAACAAGGTTACATTTTCCCTCGTTTCATCTTCTTTTATTTATTGATTTTTTTTCCTTAACTGATTAATTTTCTCCTGGCTGTGGAAAAAAGAGCTTTTCTGATGTTGATTTAAATAATGTCGAAACCAATGGGACTTCTATGGCTGCCTTTGATCTTCACTCCAATCTGTGTCATGTTGAATTCTAATTTCCTCCTGTGGATAACTGCACTGGCTATAAGATTTACTCTCATTGATGGCCAAGCACAATATCCAGTTGTTACCACAAATTATGGCAAAATACGTGGTTTAAGAACACCTTTGCCCAATGAGATCCTGGGTCCAGTGGAGCAGTATCTGGGCGTTCCTTATGCTTCCCCTCCAACTGGAGAAAGGCGATTTCAGCCCCCAGAGCCACCGTCTTCTTGGACGGGTGTCCGTAACGCTACGCAGTTTGCTGCAGTGTGCCCTCAGTACCTGGATGAGAGGTCTCTGCTCAATGACATGCTGCCAGTCTGGTTTACAGCCAATTTGGATACCGTGGTGACATACGTTCAAGATCAAAATGAGGACTGCCTATACCTGAATATCTATGTGCCCACTGAGGATGGTAAGTAAGCTAACAGTCACACTCCAGATCACTCACCAGTTTCAGAAAGGATGGGTAGGTAGAAAGGGTTTTATAGCAGGTTGGCCAGTTTCCTCCATGTTTGGGAGGAACAGTTCCATATTTGGGAATATTCATCTGTGAAAATGAATCATTTTGTTTTACAGTCCTAAGCAATACAAATCGAGCATGCTCGGATGATTCTCTCTCATATGTCTGTGGATCACTAAATTAAAATTTATTTTCAATAACATTTTATTTTCCTACATGTGAATGGTTTAAATATTCCGACATACTCATTCTAAAGTAGAATTTCCTTAATTTTTTTTTTTAGTGTTATTTTAATACCTTTGAACATATATTTAACTTTGATATTAATAGATAACAGAAAATGGTTATGGAATTCAATCTGTATTTTTTTCCAGGATTACCAATCTAATTTTTCAGTTTAGCTTTTTATTTCTCATTCATCAATTATGAAGTGAAGGGAACATGATTAGATTATGCAGAAATATTAAATGAACAACTGGACTTAAACTTTTATCTACTTTCTGCAGTCTTCTCTCAGTACTACTTTAAAACTAAACTAAACTAAGCTAAACTGAGTGAATGCAATTTGTACCATGCAGTTCTTTGAATGTTTTCTTGGTCTCCCTCAATCTTAAAGAGTCTCATTTTATATCACATTAAATGTATATTTTGAGGTTCTGAGTGATATTGCTTCCTCTTGAAAACAATACCTGTATTCATCAGGCACCAAATGATTAAAGTTTATATCACAAGGAAATAAGAAATTCTAGTGACAATTATATTTAATATTCTGCTAAAAGCCAGTTGTTTCAGCCACTTAGAATGTAGTTACCAATGCATAACATGAGAGATTTCTCCCAGATATGCAAATACCTTCACTTTAGCAGAGGGCTTAATTTGCATAACTGTGACATTGTTATTTCTTAGCAACCATACTCTAGCTATGCAAATTTTTGTACTTTGATTATTATTATAATCCTTCTGCCTAGATTGCCTTTCTTTTTTTTTTAACTCAGGACTTCCAAGCTGCTTGCCAGCAATAAATATATCATCTTTTCCTTCTCTCGTCAGCTAACGCAGGAACCTGAAAACTAAAATACAGCGTTAAGATTTGTTAATTCTGTAAACATAAATATCACCAGGCTGTTTGAAAGTATTTTGAAAAAAATAGATGTGTGTGTGTGTCTGTGTGTGAGTGTGTATATGTGTGCATATGTATATGAAGGAGTAAACTTCTGCTAGTTCTTTTCTCCAGTCTCTTTGCACTGAACCTCATTCCTAGGACATGAACTTGAATAATTCTTTCCCATATTTGYTTGGTTACAGTTTGATCTTGCAGGTTTTAATTAGTCAGTAGGGTAAGTGTGTCCTCAGAAACATTTTGGATTTAAGTCTTATTTGTTTACACTCAAAAAATCCCATCTCTGCTAACTAATGCCTTTTTTAAGCAAACTCATAAATTTCTTTTGTCCAATAACAGGAAGATTGATCCATTAAGGAAGACAGGAAATCAGAAATGGAAAAAAATATAAAAATCATTAGAAAAAAACATTAATTAATRTCATATAGATAATAAAATGCCATGTGTCCAGTGACTAACAACCTACAAAATTGCTCATCTTGCATCTAATAGTGTTTGCTTTTATTCACTTTTAACTTACAAACAAAAAGGACTGTCAGGTTTCATTGTAGGCTTTTATGACTATGTCTCTGAAAACCATGTATTTTCTCCTCCTCCCAGTTTTTACAAGTCAATTTTAATGTGGCATAAGACAAATTTTAATTTAAAGGAGAATGTGTAGGGAATCCATTTTCTTTTATAAACCCTCTTCAAAAAACAAACCTATGTACACATAGGTCTGCAGCTGAATTGTGACAAATGGAGTCTGATATTAGTGACAGAAATGTGTAAAGACAAGACTGATCATGTGGCAAGCATTTTTAACAGGCCGTAGTGGAGAAAGAGAAATTTAAAAACAGATATATAGAATATATTAAGTTTTTAATTGTGTACTATATATATCATTAATAGAAGCTCAGTATAGCTCAGTATACATTAAATATAACTCAAAACATTTTGAGGGTGAGAAAATATTCAACCTTTTGCTTGTAATGATGATTAAAGAGACTGACCTACAAATCACACCAGTTAGTGTGTCTCCAAATCAAACTAAACATAAATTGCCTTAAATGGTAGTCCATACAATCTGATTAAAAACATTATGCTTTAGTATATGGGTGTTAGTTGGCAGAAATAAGCTACATTGTTTTGGAGACAGACCATGAAATTGGTTTTTGAAGCAGTCTCAAAGTAAGTGACTTGAAGTTAAAATCACATTTTCAGTTCTTTCTCCAGTAAAGATTTCTTTAAAAGGGCTCTAAAACTGTTCTGTGTATGTATGAAAAGGTAGATGTACTCATCCAAGCCTAATTAATGTTCTGATTACAAGACCAAATCTGAATCATTTTATGTTGTCTTTTTTTTTTTTTTTTTTTTTTTTNNNGGGGGGGGGGGCAGGGGAAGAGGGGGCGGCACTATATAGCATGACCTATTTCTTATCACTTGAGTAGTTTAGTCAAAAGGACCAAAAATTTTGATCATGTGTTTTGAATGTGTTTTGAATGAAGAACTGAGGTATATGCACGCATGCATGCATCTGATTTCAGAATTGCTTTACTGGAATTCTGCCAATATAAACTAATGGATATAACAATAGAACTTATGCCCACTAACTGGGTAGATAAGATTACTTACTGATAATAAAACAGTTTGAATCATACTGCTTCAGATCAAAGAAGTGTACTGAAATCAAATAACACAAAGTTTCATTGCTCCTTAAAGTGGTTGGAAAATCTATATTAAAATAAAAATAGAATGGCCTGTTACACATTTTAGAGCTGCTTTAAACATAGCCTCCATCTTTGTTTTATTTTATTTTTAACCCATGGGATTCTGGATTCCGATTTTTGATAGTAGATGCTAAAAAGTCCTTCAGAATTTTCTATGTTAAAATGTTCTTACAAGCCTAATCTACTATCTTTGTCTTTAGGTCATTTGTTTTTTTATCTTTAAGAGAAACTATTATTTATTGTATAAAACAAAACAGATACCTAACAGAATATTCCTGTAAGCCTGCCTGCATATTTTTTTTGTTTGTTTGTTTGTTTGATTGGTTTGTTCTGTTATTCACTAGATAAATGGTTTGTACTAACACCTCCCTTAGAGTAACRGTATCTGGAGAATTTCTGTGTGTTTGCCTCTGTCATAATAAGTAGAAATAATAAGTTATTATTTTAAAGATACTTATTAATACAAGCATTAAAGAAAGGTAAAATTTAGCAAATTGCTTCTATTTTTCTGCCAAATCTATAAACATAAGAAATTACCCCAAAGTGAAACAAATGAAATATTCATAGTAAAATTATCATTTTATCCAAGTTGCTTTCTAAACATTGTCATAATCTTTTGATGGATATCTGTCTGATTTTCTGTTAATGTCTGATGTGTCTGATTTTCCTGTTAATGTAGTTTTCTGCAAGAATACTTGAATGGCAGTTTTGAGGAGGTCATCTAGGGAAATGATATTGAGGACAGTCTGTTTATTATAACTTCAGTCTGAATATGGGTTTATCTGCAGTGGAAATGCTAGATTGAAGAGGACACAGACTGTTAATCGGCTGTGCTTAATCCCTGGCCTTTATCATTTGAATCTGTGTATACTGAAGTAGATTGCTAACTCTTATCATAACTGTAGAAAAAATATAACAAATAGCAAACAGAAAAGCCCTTTAATTTGGATTTCTTTTATGATAACCTTAAAACTGTATTAATATCAAGGCAAGATAAAAAACTTATTTAAATAACATGAACAAATCTTTCATTTTTCCCTATAATCCCTAGTCTGTTCCGGGAAAAAATGGAAAGAGAAAAAAATAGATGACCTCCCTTTGTATGATGGATAGTAAGCATATGTACTTCACTTATTTTGGTATATGTGAAGAGAGTGCGTCTTATACAAATGGATACCTTCTCCACAGCTCTGTATCTGTTAACGATAGAAGTGAAGTATTTAGCATCTTCAGAGGGTTGCTTTCTGAAAATGCTCTGTGGATTCTTGTCTCATTTCAATCACAGTAGGTATAGCTAAATTGGCAATAAAAGGTGGTAGACCAGGATAATTATTAAAGGTAGGGAACCTACCCATCAGAGGAACTGGGAAATATTGTCCAAGGTTAATGATACATTTAAAAATAAGATACCATGAAGAAAAAAAGTCAGGCAACAGCAAGAGAATCAACAGCATTTCTTCTCTGAATAATAGTCTGAAGGAAAAATACCTGCATCTTCACATTGTTTTCCCAATAGACCAAGCAATAAAGAAATCGAGCAAATTGATGAAGAATAGGGACCTAACATGATTTCTATTGCTTACTTACTGTGACCCTACTTCATATTTGGCAAATGTCTGCCAAGTGCAGAATTGAGCATGCACAACTCACATTTTTACTGTTGAGTTGCAGTGTTTGTTTAACTTGGAAAAAGTATTTATCTGAATTATTATGATAAACTTGATTGATGAAAATACTTTAGATATAGATAGATTTTTTTTCCTTTGAAGATAAGGAAAGAAGAGCAAAGAGAGAGAGAGAGAGGTATCCCATAGGGACAAACTTTGTATGTAAATAATAAGAAAGGAAGCTATTGAGAGATTTCTTTACTAATATGAAGAATAAAGGTCAGTAAAGAAGAGTTTGTAACATAATGTGCAGGATATGCCATTTTTGAAGAATTATTAGTAGATGAAAAATAGTAGGTGACAAAAGGGCTTCGACCTCCTTATCTCCCCAAATAAATCTGAATTTCCATAGATTAGACCATTCTAGATTATACATAGTTTCAATTTTCATTAACTTCATATCTGGCATGTAATCATRAGGTAGTCTCAAAGTTCTAGTTGTTTTGTTATTTCTTC